TCGCGCTCGAGGGCCTGTGCAGCTGCTGGCATCGCAAGATGTGCAGGCAAAGCAATGGAGCTGCAATGCAACTGTTGATATAGCACGTGAAGCCCGGGCCTCCAATGTGAAGGAAGTTCACGAGGAAACGAAATTAGCATGGACAAATGCCACAGCAGTGCATGCAAACCCCATGCAGCACGCATCCACATATGTCAATGACGGCCCATGATTCCCAGATGAGCTTTTGGCTAAACACCTATATCCCCCTTGATGAGCCTTGTAATAGGAACCCTACATGTAGTCCCCTATGTACGACCCCCCTTTAAGGAGTTTAGACTACAGCTTACATTAGCAGGACTGATGTTGGCCGTGGTAGCCGCCCTTCCTCGGCCGCAACGCCGGCTCAGCCGTCGAAGCCACGGCGTCGGAGCCTGCCATCCCATAAGTTGCTTTCCAACCCTCTCTATCGCCCGCAACCAGTGACCAGAATATTAATATATTATGAATAATAGGGTGTCCTTGTCAAGTAGCTGACTTTAAGTCCCTGCCTAATCCTATAGCAAAACTTGGGATGTCCAAAAATTGGTACAACTGTCGGGGTTTCAGGAAATAATGTTTGTGCAAAGCCTTGAATGGAAGTTTGACCAGCAACGGAAGGTTCTGTTTTGGGCTCCTTCCGTGCACTCCTTCTGACTCTGTGGGCTACTTATACTTTTGGGGATCGCCTGATTTCTTTCAACTGATTGCTGAAGGAGACTAGCCGTAAATACCAAAAGAAGCTCTGAGACAGTTCACTTCAAGATTTAGGGTTTCCTGTTTGCGAGAGGCCAACTTCTCAAGACCAGTTGCCTTTGGAGAACCCTCGCTACATTGTGATCCAAAAAGCGTATGGGTCCAGTTAGAGATAGTTTTGATCTTGGTGCACAGGCCTAAACCCGCTCTAAACGCTAAATAATTAGTAGTTTCCATGTTCCTTTCCATTATCCCTATACTACAATCACTATATAGCCCCGACATGATCTCCATATGAACCCCAGAGGCTTGTGGGCAGGTTCAGGATTGAAATCTTGGGCATCCAGCAGAGATTCAGGGGGGTACCTCAGAGCAATTGGGATCATGTGGTGGTCCTTCATGTCATATCTGTATGACATCTGGCATCCGTTGCATTCCAGCTCAAAGCCATTATGAAGACGGCTTTCCAGCATTTCACCTGGCAAAGCCATATCTATACTCAGCAACACTACGCCCGACCGCAATGACGAGTCAATCTAGATAATGCCGTATCCGGCTACGAGGCTGCAACCACATCTACCTAGTAGACACACAAGCAGATCCTCTGCTTTTGGACTCTACAGAAACTTATGCGCGAGGAATTCCCTGTACCAATCTTGGCTGCCTTCCAGCGCCATCTATGATGCTGTTTCGAGGTGTCTTTAATCACTTGGTGAGAAAGCAGCTAGGAGCTAGGACAGTGAGGAGCCTATCACAGTACTTGGGGGGTCAGGGGGACTTAGTAAGTGGGTTAATAAGGGGGATAACTGGGGTTACTATATGGGTTATAGGGGAAATTAACCTACTCACTAAGTCCCCCTGACCCTCCAGGTACTCCTGACCTACAGGTCCCTTCTCTCTCGCCTGTGCCACAGACCTGGGCCATCCGATGGCAGCCATGGCGACAAGGGAGATTCTAAAACGGAGCTTATGGTTATATAGGGGGTTCCACAGGAATAATGGAAAAGAAATGGAAACTTCTACAATGATATAGCGTATATATTGGGGTTGTATAGGAGGTTATATAGGGATAATGGAAAAGAAAGTGGTCACTACTTTAATCGGTTAAGCTTCTTTGGGCATCTTGGTACCTTTGGGTACGCTGGGATGTCTTGTCCATACCGTGCTCGCTCCATCAATTGCAACTTTGTGCCTGAAACTGGTCCAGTGATGATTGTTGCAGAGAATGAAGGCTGCGGAATCAAGAGATCTCCTGTATGGGTGCATTCGCTGTTCAAGGATAGCCTGGAACAAAATCGGAAGTCACGCCCAGCCTTCTACAGCAGATAGCATCTCCTTTGCTATTGATCTAGCCTGTGCCTTCCACAAAACTGTGGCCGATCCAACCTGTTGTGCAACATGCGGCGTATTTGGATTATTAGTAAGTCTTAAAGAGCGCTCCGTGTCAACTCCTAACCATGCAGCGTAGCGACGTAGCCCCGGTAAACTAGACATGGGACAATGCATGCAACATCATACAGCCTTCTATGTTCGTCTCTTCGGCCCAAGCAGCCAGCGTGAGCAACCGTGGACAGGCCCTTCCCCTGCGGGAAGCCTGGGTAACTATGAGATGCAGGCGCCGGCAGCTGGTTGAATGAACACTCTCAACCACACGCGCCGGTCCAAAAAGAAGCCAAAGTGTAAGGTGCCCTGACATCGGTGCGGTTCCGGCTGTTCTGCATCGGAACGCTTGACGGCGGTAAATCTTCTAAACATTACCGAAGCATTGCGAGGCATCTTTGGCCCCATACAACGAGGTCGATGGAGAAACGCTGAGAGCACTGACAATAGTCTACTTTCTTGTCTACTATCTGGGAGGTGAGCGTCTGCCGGCCTTTGACTCTTGTCGCCTTCGACGATGCCCTTCTTGTTCTGCTTCCTGTTGTTGCTGCTTGTGCTGCCGTTGCCATTCCTGCGGCTGTTGCTGCCGTTGGTGCAGTTGTCGGTGTTATAGCTAGCATCATCGCCGCCGCCGCGCCTGCGTCGCCACTTGCTGCATTATCGCCTTTGTCATCATAATTGTCGTCATCTCCGCCAACGTCGTTGTCGTCCTCCTTCTGCTTGTGGTGGTGCTTTTGTACGGGCGAGCTGGTGTTGTCTGTTGTAAGACAGCCGTTGCCTAGCTCACTCTGGGGAACCTGTTCCGCCATCGCCCTCTTGCTATCAAATGGGCAGCACCGATGAGGGCCAAAATAGTTTGAGTAGCTTCCTAGGCATGGTAAATGCCAGAATCTCAAACTACCCCGGCCCTTGCTGTAATGTACATGGCAGAGTGGCACACCTACAGTCTCGAGGTATTAAAACGGAAAAATGGTCAGCATCCCAATGGGTCGGAACTTCCGAGCACACCCAGCGTTGAAGCAGCCCTTACCTGTGAAGGTCTTCTTACAATGCATACTGACGAGTTTAAACGCCAGGTGCTGGCGGCCCTCAGGAAGCTGTACTATGAACACTCAGAAAGGAATCGCCGGCTTCGTCCTCTGCAGTGGAGTTGGCTCGTGACCTCGTCAGGTTTGGCTTCGTGTAACCCCGCAGGATGAAACGAGATACTAGAACCCCAATATAGACCCCCAAAATACTATAGTCCGCCCCAAAAAAGGTACCCCTAATTTTGGGAAACCCCCATGTACTGATCAGCACCATCATCGTTAAGGCTTCAGGCTTAAGGAACCCTTTGGGGGAGCCCCATATAAGGGGGGGCCCAGAACTAAGGACCCCCAAGAGGTTCACGAACTCTCCAAGGCTACGATGATGTACAGGCCCGGCTGCATGTCTTCCAGCATGGCTTCTGGCTAGTCATGCTTTCGATCTAGTACAAATGTAAGAGAACAGAATATGATCCCAAACATTATTAATACTTGCTAGTACCTAGATTCATGATGCGGGACCTCAAGGTCGCAGAGTCCAGCGTTTCGTTGGATTCAGATCTTGTTGCCGACACCTGCGCCTGCAATGCGTATTGCACATGCCGAGGCTTAGGCAGGTAAGATCCTAGGCTGATAGGACGCAGGTTCCACCGGTGTTACGATTTATATCTCCTGTCCTCACACATGGTTGCATTGCATCATGGATTAGGGCCTGCGTCAAGAAGTGTTCATGCTGCCATTCTGCCAAAAACCGCCGACGTGAAATCTGAAGCAACGCTGCCACAACTGCGTGAGCTCGCCAATTCCTAAAACAGCAGCTCACCCTGAAGGCGAGAAGCCATGAAGCCTTTCTCGTGCACACCGGCTGAATATGCTATCTATCTCTTGTTGGGCTGTCTGTGTGTTCCTTACTGGGTTGTATCCGGCAACCAGAACCCTGCCTCTGACGCATCGGTTGCCGTCGTGTGCGTGCGGGCACGCGTCCGCGGAGGCTTTCCAGCCTTGCTGCGGGGGCCTTGCGACAGCAGCAGTCTGCTCATATCGGCTATCCAGCCTCCCTGAATCCTGCATAGTATTTGCAGATGGTAGTTAAAATAATGGTTAATTAGTAATACTAGTAATATTAGTAATAGAGGGCAGCTGCATAAGAATCGCCGGATACCCAAGGCTAGGGATGTGAATTTGGCGGCGCTGGGGACTTCTTGGGGGGGCGAAGCTGCAAACTCTGAAGTTTCCGACCTCGGCACAAAGCCTCATCCTCTCAGCCTCATTTCAGTGGCCCAAGGAACTAAAAACCTGAAGCCTTGGTCTCCAAAAGCCCGGAGCGTGCACTATTCAGGTAGATTCCTTATGTCATGGCTTTCCATCTTAAGATGGCTCCCCATCAGCAGGGGAACAGTGGATGCTCAACCCTTATACCCTTCACCCTAGATGCTTAACCCTAGACCCTGCACCCAAAAACCCGGAACCCTGAGGCTGCTAAGGTGCGAGCCCTTGCCCCTAAAACCTCGAAGACACAGTCGCTTGAAGGCTCTGCGGACTTAGTAAGCCTGAGGCAAAATGGCGCCTCTAGGTTGGGAAAGGGTTTCGCTCCTTTCAGGGTTTAGGGCTTCAGCCGCTCCCAACCCGGCCCTCACCCCTTAGCCCTAGTCCCGAAACCGCGTAGAATCCAATTGTTTTTCCATCTAATTTGATTCTCCATCTTTGTCGGGTAACATTCCTTAACCACAAACCTTACTGGTGGTTAGTAGGGAATGAGGGAATATAATCCCCATATAATCCCTACATGCAATTTTTCCCTTCTTCCCTACTAACCCCCAGCCAAAACCCTAAACCCTAGTAAAACAAAAACGGTCTCCCGGCCGCGCCTTTCTTTTTGGCCTCTTCGGCGTGGTGTTCGAGCTCAGCCCATGCCTCGCCTTAGTAGCCCCAAAATTCCTAACGAGCCACCTCTCTTTGCCCTAATTAAAGGTCCAAGGACCCAAATGGTAGGGCTTTAGGTCTCAAATACACATGATTTTGTAGTATTTGGGCCCTAACACCCCTTAGGGTTGCGGAACGTAGGATCATTACCTCCGGAAGCCCGGGATCCTGAATTCAGCAAAAACTCGTCCAGTATGGGTTCCAGCATATTCCCCAACGCTTTGGAGGTGTCCGACAGTTGGTGGGCTTGCTTTGTCCACATGGCTTGTTCATTCTAAGGGAGAATGCACAAGTTTTGATTAACAGTATGACCCATGGAGTGATCCTCAAGCTGTCTTAAACAGGACCCTGTAGAGGCTTGTGGTAATCTTAACTCAATCAACCTGATAAAGGAATTCCAAGAAGATCTATCCTGTATTGAGGAACCCCAACCCCAAACTCCAAAACCCCAAGCCCCCCAAACCTGAAACCCATTTGGCAGTTTCTCCGGGGCTGCCCGTGGGGGGGGACTCTAAAGAAAAAGGCGGGGAACCCTCTCAAGGACGACAAAAATCTCCTCTTCTTACCGGTTGTTAGTAGAGAATAAGGGAACATAATCCCTATCACTATAGAATAGAAACCCTATATAACCCCCATATAATCCTTATAGAACAGAAACTCTATATAACCCCTATATGACCCCTATATCTATTTTTTACTAACCCCCCAGTAAGCTCCTCTTTCTGGCCCGAGCTGCTAACCTGGCCGCGGAAGGTGCTTAAGGCTCGGAGAAGCTGCGACGTTGCATCCGGAAGCTGGCTCTCCTCCTGGGTGCCTGGGTTGGGGTACAGTAAATATAGATACCAGAATATATAGTACAGTAAGCTAGAATATATTAGAATATACTTTTGTAGTATAGATACCAGAATATATATTACAGTAAACTAGAATACTAGAATATACTGTTGTAAAGTTTAGTATATTCTGCTCTTGGGTGCCTGGGTTTAGGGTTGAGAGTTCAGGGTGCCAGGCTTGAGGCGTAGGGCTTAGGGTTGTTTGACTGGAGTTTTCAGGTGGGTGGTTCCCAGGTGGGTACCCTTACACAAGGCTTCACGCCGTCGGATGTGGCCAAACCACCTATACCTATTCCTTTGGGTGCTTAGGACTACAAACTTGGAGTTTCTCAAATGACCCCCTCAAATCCCCAATGGTAGCCCGTCATCCTCGTATCCACCTACTGGTAAGGTCTCTGAGGGATCCTTCCATTTTGAGCAAATCCTAATGTAGGCCCATGATTAATATACCCCTCCTTTTGAGGGCCTAAAAATTAGATCCCTATTATAATCCCTATTACTGGGAGGGGGTTTATTAATCAGGGGTCCGGGCTATTCAGAAGAGAGGCCGAGACCAAAGAAGCGAAGAAGCCCACGGCAGTCTGCCTGCGTGGTACACTTGCCAAGCTGGCTGATCACGGGAGTGTTTGAGTAGGTCGATAGGGCCTCCTGTAGGAATTGTGCTAGGGAATCATAGGAAACAAGCGCCTATCATGATTTGAGGCTATTGTTTTGCAGAGCTGCTGGTATCTGGAGGGAATAAAGGAATAACAGCATCATTCGGAGGATTGGGAGGTAAATGCCCAGCAAGTTTTTCACAGGCGAACGACGTAGTGTTGCAGTGCATGAGAGGCCATGTTGCATGTTGGTGTGCCTTGGGTTTGGGGTCCGCAATGCAGTACCGAACTCCCGAAGCCCCAGCCACAAAGAAGAAGGCATACGTTCAAATGCAAGCCTGAAGACCTCCCCTGAATAGCAGGACCTTTTGCATTTTCCATCTGATTCTCGATCACTGGGGTAAAAATTCCCCGAACCCTATATAATCCACATTATCATACGGCAGTTTCCACGTTTCGCCCTCTTATCACCCCAATATACACCTTATTATTTCACTATAGTAGTTTCCATGTTCTTTTTTCCGTTATTTGTAGACCATAAACTAAACCCTAAGCCCTAAACCCCGTTTGCTGCGCCGGCCTCTGTCGCCGCCAGTGTCCTGGACCACTTCTCCACCACACCCGTCATCTCGACCTGCGGGGGCATATAGGTACTATTTAAAAGCTAGCATGAAGGCAGTATCATTATTATTAGGGTTTGGGGTTTAGCGTAGTAAAAAGGGACTGTTATACGGGGATGCTATAATTAGAGAACATGCAGGGTTATATAGGGACAATATGGGAAGTCTGTAGGTGTCATATAGGTAGGTGGGCTTCCAGCTACCAAAATGCTTCCTGTTCCCCTATTTAATCATGTCTTCCTGTATTCCCCACTAAGCCCCAGCTTTGCAAAAGGGGGCTGGCAGTATCTTGCTCCACAAAGGACGGCATGCAACCATTGAGGCTAATTGAGACGGGCTCCAAAGGGCTCATCGTTCAGGAGCTCGGCATTTTGACAGAGCCTTATAAACCCTAAACCTGTATAACATAGTAGTTTCCATTTTCTTTTCCATTATCCCTATACAACCCCGATATAACCCTATATAAGCCCAAGAATAGCGACAACCCTAGAATCGAAGAGATGCTTCTGGGTTCTTTCGAGAATTCCCTGTTGGCCCGGAAGCTCCATGCCAAAAGCGCCAAATGCGGTGCCCGCGAAAGCAGCAGAGCCTTTGCATATAAACCCCTCCCCATTGTCCCGGACAGACGTTAGGGCCCGTTAGGGAGGGCCCGATCTCTCGTGCTACAGTCTGGTTTGCGCTGTATGTACAATTTTTCCTGAATCACTGTCTCAGATAAATTGCAGCCTCCAAATGTCTCAGCTGCGAAAGGGCATCGGGAGTGTCCAAGGCTTCCGTGGCACCTTTGTCCGTCATTCCATGCTGGCTCAAGGATGTTAGACGGCAATGAGAAGATTTCTTCGACACTTGAATTCTGGGTCCATGTTCCAGTTGCAGGGCACGTATTGCAAACACACACGTGTTTCCATTGGGTCCAGGGCCCCTGCATGGAACTGATCACACGTGGATGAATTCCGGCAACAAACTGATCTGGTCCACAATGACAGATGCGTGGTTGTCAAAATTATGGTTCCCTTTTTGGATCCCTATCATAATACGGCACCTAACATTTAGGGTACCCAAAAAGGGACCAGAATTTTGACAACCACCCAGATGCTTTCCTTCCTTTCAACTCGCACCTACGGTTCTACGAGGCAGGGTCCAGTAACCACTCAAAAATGCAAAAAAATAGGCTTCACTGCAGACATGAAGCCCGAAAGTTGACAGAAGCTGCCAACCCACGGCATGCCGCAGACCTCGTCGTACTCCTCCTTCTGCTTCCGATTTAAGCTTGGAGGAATTTCACCAAATCAAAATTATGGTTCTCATGTATGATCCTTATGTATATCCTGTACCAATGATTAAGACTCGTCATGGAAGGTGGAGAGATGTCTAGGAGGGTCTGGACATGCACTGTTCTTGGCAAAGCTCAATGTCAAATCAACCCCCCCAGAGCGCCAGGGCGCTGTGAATGTAATCCAACTGCGACGTGCTTTTGCAACAGCCCGCAGACTCTGCATCATCATGAACCGATAGTTGAAGCCCCTGAAGTCCTCGCAGTCGGAGTCCATTTGGATGACCTCCCGTTGCTGGCAGAACAGCATGCTTACGCTGTGAGTTGTGGCAATGGTGATCATTATTGCAGGAGTAGGACTGGAGGCTTGATGCTTCGAGAACTAGGTATACGATGCGAGCTGCGCAGCGTCAGCATCGCTCGAGACAGACTAAGGTTGTGCCTCACAAAACGCCACCCAACAGCAGGACTTAAGAGAGATGAAGGACTCTCCTGCAGACTGTGGGTGGATGTGGGTGGACCCTTGATCCTCCCTTCTAGATGGACTCGCGGAGTGATGAGCATGGCAGATTTCTTCAAGCTGGCGCTCTGTCACGCTGTGCTTATTTTAGCCCGCCCCGGTGAGCTGCCTCCTTGGCCTCCGGCTCCTTGGCCTGCGCCTCCTTGGCCTGGTCCTCCTTGGCCTCATTGCCCTCCTGGTCGGATGGGCCTGTGGAGCAAACGTTTCAGGGGCTTTCCCATGTGCGCACCTGATTTGGGTCTGCAGCCCGGATGGCTTCAGCCCAACTTCTGCATCTCAGGTACTAGGGGTCATTCAGTATGCCGGCTAGTTGACAAAGCACAAGTCCTGTGTACTAGTATATCATGAATGACCTTCCTTTCATGAAGTGGGGGGAGGGGGTGTGAGGGGGGGGGGGTCTTTGCATTTAAGGAAGTGATGGATAAGCCTAGGATGGACAAGCATTGGTTAAGCCTAGGATAAGGCTAGGATAAGCCTAGGATAAGCCTTTATTAGATATTTATCCTGAGCTTATGCATAAGCATAGGATAACCTTAGGATAAGATCAGTATAACAAGTATTGGCTAATCCATGGCTTATCCAAAGACCCTG